ACACAACTGTGTTGAGGTGTTTTATTCAATTGTGCTCTCAATTATGTGTTTTATACTGAAGCTACAGGCAAAAACAGATACACAGATCAATGGAACAGAATAGAGAACCAGAAATGGACCCACAAATGTATGGCCAACTAACCTTCCACAAAGCAGGAAAAAACATAAGAAGTCTCTTCGACAAATGGTGTTGGGAAAACTGGACAGCAACATGCAGAAGAATGAAACTGGACCACTTTCTTACACCGTACACAAAAGTAAATTGAAAATGGATTAAAGACCTAAATGTAAGACAGGAAACCATCAAAATCCTAGAGGAGAAAAAGGCAGCAACCTCTTTGATGTTAGCCACAGCAACATCTTACTAGACACGTCTCCTGAAGCAAGGGAAACTAAAGCAAAAATGAACAATTGGGACTTCATCAAGATAAAAAGCCTCAGCACAGCAAAGGAAACAATTAACAAAACTAAAAGGCAGCTGATGGAATGGGAGAAGATATTTGTAAATGCCATATTGGATAAAGGGTTAGTATCCCAAGTCTATACTGAAGGTTATATACTGACCAAACCAGATTTGTGGTTTAATTTATAGTTTAGGACTTGTTTCTAAACTTGAAATTCTTTTTTTTTTTACTTGAAATTCTTGTATTTAACTGCCTGCTGATTGTCTCCACTTAGATGTCTCACGTCATACTAAACATATCTGTACTACTGATCTCAACCTATTCCTTCTCTTACCCTACTCCAGGCATGGCTTCCTTCCAAAAAGAACCAACACCACAGAATACAAAGGGTTTTAAGAAATTACCAGAAAAAAACAATATGCCAACAAATTAGACAAAATAGAATGAAAACTTCCTATAAACATAAAAACTTCCAAGAATAAATTCAGGAAGACATAGAAAATCTAAACAAATTACAAAGAAATTCAGTTAATAAAACTGAAACAAAGTTGAACCAAAAACTCCCAACAAACAAAACAAACAAAAGTCCAGATGGCTTCAAAAGCGAATTCTACCAAACATTTACTTTTTTTTTTAAGATTTTATTTATTTATTTGAGAGAGAGAGAGAGAGCACAAGAGCAGGGTGGGGGGTAGAGGGAGAAGCAGACTCCCTGTGGGGAGTCTGATGTGGGACTCAATTCCGGTACTCCAGGATCCTGGCCTGAGCAGAAGGCAGAAGCTTAACTGACTAAGCCACCCAGGCACCCTCTACCAAACATTTAAAGAAGAGTTAATACCTATACTTCTTAACCTATTCCAAAAAACAGAATATGAAGGAATGCTTCCAAATTCATGCTAGGGGGACAGCATTACCCTGATACCAAAACAAACACAACTATGATAAAAAGAAAATCGGAGACCAATATCATTGATAAACATAGATGCAAATCCTCAACAAAATAGTAACAAGCTGAATTTTAAAATTACTTAAAGGATCATTCACCATTATCAAGTAGGGTTTATTCCAGAGATGCAAGGATGCTTCAATATTCAAAAATTAATCAACATGATACACCACATTCACAAAATGAAGGATAAAAATCATATGATCATTGCAATAGATGCAGAAAAGCATTTGACAAAACAACATCCGTTCATGATAAGAACTCTCAGCAGAATGGATTTAGGGAGAATGTACCTCAACATAATAAAGGCCATCTATGACAAGCCCATAGCCAACATCATCCTCAAAAGTGAAAAACTAAAAGCTTCTCCTCTAAGATCAGGAACAACCCAAGCATACCCAACTCTTGCTACTCTTATTGGCCATAGCCTGGAAGTCTGAGCCAGAGTAAACAGGCAAGAAAAAGAAATAAAAGGCATCCGTATCAGAGAGGAAGGCGAAAAACTGTGCTGAGAAAACTGAACAGCCACATGCAAAAAAATGAAACTGGACAACTATCTTACACTATGCACAAAAACTAACTCAAATGAAATGAAGACTTGAATGTATGACCTGAAGTCATAAAAGTCCTAGAAGAAAACATGAAGGTAAGCCCCTAGATATGGTCTCAGCAATGATTTATCAGATATGATACCAAAAGTAAAGGCAACAAAAGGAAAACTAAATAAATGGGACTATATCAAACTAAAAAGATGCTCAGCAAAAGGAAACAACCAAAAAAACTAAAAGGCAGCCTTCAGAATGGGAGAAGATATTGGCAAATGACATATCTGATAAAGGGTTAGTATCCAAAATCTATAAAGAACTTAACAAGGGGCACCTGGGTGGCTCAGTCGTTAAGCATCTGCCTTCGGCTCGGGTCATGATCCCAGGGTCCTGGTATCGGGCCCCACTTTGGGCTCCCTGCTCCGCGGGAAGCCTGCTTCTCCCTCTCTCACTCCCCCTGCTTGTGTTCCCTCTCTCGCTGTGTTTCTCTGTCAAATAAATAAATGAAATCTTAAAAAAAAAGAACTTATCAAACCCAACACCCCAAAAATAAATACTCCAGTTAAGAAATGGCAGAAGACATGAACAGACATTTTTCCAAAGAAGACATACATTTGGCCAACAGACACATGAAAAGATACTCAACATCACTCATCATCAGGGAAAATACAAATCAAAACTACAATGAGATACCACCTAACACCTGTCAGAATAGCTAAAAAAAATTTTTTTTTTTAGATTTTATTTTATTTATTTATTTGACACACAGAGAAGGAGAGAGCAAGCCCAAGCAGGGGGAGTGGCAGGCAGGGGAGAAGCAGGCTCCCCGCTGAGCAAGGAGCCCAATGCGGGGCTCGATCCCAGGACCCCGGGGTCATGACCTGAGCCAAAGGCAGCCGCTTAACCAACTGAGCCACCCAGGTGCCCCAGAATGGCTAAAATTAACGACACAAAATTAACAACACAGGAGGGGTGCCTGGGAGGCTCAGTCAGTTAAGCCTTCGGCTCAGGTCATTATCTCTGGGTCCTGGGATGGAGCCCCGCATCAGGCTTCCTGCTCAGCAGGGAGTCTGCTTCTCTCCCTCTGTTCCTCCCCATTACACTCTCTCTCTCTAATAAATAAAATCTTTAAAATACGCACACACACACACACACACACAGGAAACAAGAGATGTTGGTGAGGATGCAGAGAAACGGGTCTGTGGATGCGAATGCAAACTGGTGCAGCCACTCTAGAAAACAGTATAGAGGCTCCTCAAAAAGTTAAAACTAGAACTACCCTATGACCTAGCAATTATACTACTAGGTATTTACCCAAAGGATACAAAAATACTGATTCGAAGGGACGTTTGCAACCTGATGTTTATAGCACCATTATCAACAATAGCCAAATTATGGAAAGAGCCCAAAAGTCCATCAACTGATGAATGGATAAAGAAGATGTGGTATATATACAATGGAATATTACTCAGCCATCAAAAAGAATGAAATCTTCTCATTTGCAACCACATGGATAGAGCTAGAGTGTGTTATGCTAAGTGAAATAAGTCAGTAAGAGAAAACAAATACCGTATGATTTCACTCATGTGGAATTTAAGAAACAAAACAGATGAACACAGGGGAAGGGGGAAAAAAAAGAGAGGGAGGCAAAGTATAAGGGACTCTTAACTATAGAGAACAAACTGAGGGTTGATGGAGGGGAGGTGGGCAGGGGATGGCCTAAATGGGTGATGGGTATTAAGGAGGTTACTTGTTGGGATGAGCACTGGATGTTGCATGTAAGTGATGAATCACTGAGTTCTACTCCTGAAACCAATATTTCACTGCATTTTAACTAGAATTTAAATAAAAACTTGAGGGGCGCCCGGGTGGCTCAGTCAGTTAGGTGTCTGCCTTTGGTTCAGGCCATGATCCTGGAGTCCCAGGATCCAGTCCCACATTGGGCTCCCCACTCAGTGGGGAGTCTGCTTCTCCCTCTGACCCACCCCCCTCTTGTGCTTTCTCTGTCTCACTCTCTCTCTCTCAAATAAATAAAATCTTAAAAAAAAAAACTTGAAACAAAAATAAAATAAGAAACAAAACAGATGAACATATGGGAAGGGGATAAAAAGGAGAAAGAGAAAGTTGGGGCACCTGGGTGGCTCAGCTGGTTAAGCATCTGACTCTTGATTTTGGCTCAGGTCATGATCTCAGGGTTGTGAGATTGAACCCTGTGTTGGGTTCCATTCTGGGAGGGGAGTCTGCTTGAGATTCTCTCTGTCCCTTCTCCCTCTGCCCGCCCCTTCCTATGCTTGCATGCATGCTCTCTCCCAAATAAATAAATCTTTAAGAAAAAAAGAGAGGGAGGCAAACCATAAAGACTTTTTTTTTTTTAGTTTAATAAGCATTTACTCCTTAAGCTGAACAACCTCTACATGCAAAATACATACGGTTTAGGATCTCTTTTTGAGTGGAAAGAAATTTAGGTCTCAAGAGGCTTTCAGTCTGTTTTCTGGAAATCACTTAATTGAGTGTAAGACCCCTGAAAAATACTGGATTCAACCTAAAAATGTGGTTCCTAGTTGACATTATTCTGTATATGATCATGATAAAAGATTAGGATACTCTTCACATTTCCAAGCAAGATCCAATTTTAAAAGCTTGTTCTTCCCAAACTCCTAAAAACAGCCATTTGAGAGTAAACCAGAGCATTACATCACCCCAAAGAAGCTGTAGGTTTCATTACATACACCAACAAATCTACATGGCTAGTTTCTGCATTCCACCTTTACAAAATGTATTTTACACCTATTATACCAAACAGCATTTTAAAATACTGACATATAAACTCCCTAAAAAGATAAAGCAAAGACAAAAGCATTTATCTTACTAAAAACAAGATACACCTTCACTTATAGTCTTCAAACATTATTGCACTTTAACTTTCATAATTTGACAATGCATTCATGGAACAATCTGCAGCTAATTTTAACAGACAAATTAAAGAATACTTTGAAGCAGCTATAACTGTCCTAAATTGTTTATTAGGTAAGGATTTTACAAACATTATTTATATCAGCGCTAATGGTGGAGCTGTAGAGTATTGTGTCTTCTCTTATGTCTCACAGTGAGAACCAATTCTGTGACCCTTTCCAAGGCCATGGCTCTTGCAGCCGGCAGATGTCAGCCCTCGCATCTCCCTGTGCTTGTAGACTGGTTTGGTGATCCACTGGGTGTCAGGATTTTTCTGATGGCTTTACGGATGGATCAATGAGGATAACCTCAAAGAATCTGTACATGCGATCTCCACCAACCCAGTAAAAATTCAAGACCCTCAGAGCCCCACAGTGGTGTCCAGCTCACTCCTCTGCAACAGACTGAAGGCTTGGGGCAAACTTTAGCTGGTTAACACCATGATGGACAGGCTTGCCGTAGGTAGCACCCTTAGGAACTGGGCATTTCCGGCCACCATGTCCGATATATGACATAACTTTGCTTGGCCTTGTAACACAGTCTGCGTGCTTTATCAGGCTTGGTTGGGCAGGGGGCCCTGTGGAGCACAGAGAGCTGGGCATACTACCAGCAACACACCCTGAGAGAAAAGCCCATGACATTGGATGGCTTCTTCCTCCACAGCTCCTGGATGTACTTATAAGTGCCCATCTTGGCTTACCTTTGACCTGATGGCTGCCACTGGATGGAAAGCAAAGAGTCCTTCTCCCCCAAGACTCTTAATTATAGAGAACAAACTGAGGGTGGCTGGAGGGGAGATGGGTGGGGGATGGGTAATGGGTATTAAGAAGAGCACTTGTGATGAGCACTGGGTGTTACATGTAAGTGACGAATCACTGAGTTCTACTCCTGAAATCAATACTGCACTGTATATTACCTAACTAGAATTTAAATAAAAACTTGAAACATAAAAAATTAAAATTAAAAAATTATAAATAAAACTAGTATATTATAAAAGTTATATCTCAAATAAAATGAGTCTGTTATAGACAGCAAAAAAAAAAAAATACCATATGATCCAGCACTTACTTCTCAAAGGGATATCTGTATACTCATGTTCATAGCAGTATTATTCACAATAGCTAAAACATGGAAATGATCCAAGAGTCCATCAAGCAATAAATCATCAAGCAAAATGTAGATATACATATAATGGAATATTAACCAGTCTTAAGAAGGAAGGAAAGTCTGAAATATGCTAAAACATGGATGAAGCTTGAAGACATTATGCTAAATAAATAAGCCAGTGACAAAAAGACAAATACTGTAGGGCGCCTGGGTGGCTCAGTTGGTTAAGCGACTGCCTTCGGCTCAGGTCATGATCCTGGAGTCCCAGGATCGAGTCCCACGTCGGGCTCCCTGCTCAGCGGGGAGTCTGCTTCTCCCTCTGACCTTCTTCCCTCTCGTGCTCTCTATCTCTCATTCTCTCTCTCTCCCTCTCAAATAAATAAATAAAATCTTTAAAAAAAAAAAAAGACAAATACTGTATGATTTCACCTATACGAGTACTAAAAGTACTCAAAATCACAAAGACAGAAAATAAAACTGTGGGGGTGCCTGGGTGGCTCAGTGAAGTGTCTGCCTTTGGCTCAGGTCGTGATCTCAGGGTCCTGGGATCAAGTCGCAAGTTGGACTCCCTGCTAGGCAAAGAGTCCACTTCCTCCTTTCCCTTTGCCCCTCCCCCACTTCTTGTGCTTGTGCACGGTGTGCTCTCTTTCTCAAATAAATAAAATCTTTAAAAAAAAAAGGAAAACTGGTTGCTAGGGACTAGAAAGACGGGTGGAAATGGGCAGCTTTGTTTAATGGGTATAGGGTTTCAGTTTTACAAGTTGAAAAGATTTATGAACATGTATAGTGGCAGTTATACAACATTATGGATGTATTTAATACCACTGAACTGTATACTTAAAAATAGTTACATGGTAAATTTTATGTTATGTGTATTTTACCACATCAAAAATTTTTAAATTAAAAAAAGGAAGGAGAAATTAAGACAGTCACAAATAAAAACAGAATTCACTGCTAGCAAATCTGTTCTATAAGACTAGTAAAGTGAGTCCTTTAAACTAAAATGAAAGGACACTAGATATTAATTCAAATGAACCCAAGAAAAAGAGCACTGATAAAGGTAACTATATAGATAAACACAAAAGGCAGTATAAATGGATTTTTGCTTATATCCTGTATTGTTAAGATAGCAATACTACCCAAATTGATCTACATATTCACTGTAATACTTGTCAAAATCCTGGCTATCTTTTTTGGAGAAACTGACAAACTGATCTTAAAATTCATATAGAAATGCAAAGCACCCACAATAGCCAAAACCATCTTGAAAAAGAACAAAATTGGAAAACTCACACTTCTCAATTTCAAAATTTACTATTTAGCTATAGTAATCAAGACAGTGTGATACTGACATAAAGACAGTATATATAAATATATAAAGGCATATATTTAAATAGAATAGAATTGAGAGCATAGAAATCAACTCTTACATTTATGGTAAACTGAGTTTCAACAAGGGTGCCAAGACCATTCAATGTGGAAAAAAATCATCTTTTTCTACAAATGGTACTGGGAAAATGGATATTCACATGCAAAAGAATAAAGTTAAACTACATCCTCATGCCATACACCAAAATTAACTCAAAATGGACCATACCCTTAAATGCAAGAGCTAAAACTATACCACTCTTAAGGAAAACAAAGGAGTCTCTGTGACCTTGGGTTAGGCAATAATATCTTAGATATGACACCAAGAGCAAAAGCAATGAAAGAAAAAAAAATAAGTAAATGGACTTCATCAAAATTAAAACCTTTTTGACTTCAAAGGATACCATTAAGAAAGTATAAAAATGCACAGAATGGAAGAATTTTTTGTAAATCATATATCTGATAAGGAAATGTACCCAGAATATATAAAGAACCCTTACAGCTCAACAATAAAAAGAGAAATCAATGTTGGGACACCTGGGTGGCTTAGTTGGTTAATGCCCTACTCTTGATTTTAACTCAGATCATGATCTCAGGGTCCCGACCCCGCTTGGGCTCCATGCTGGGTGTAGAGTCTGCTTGAGATTCAGAGTCTCTCTCTTCTCCCTCTGCCCCTCCCCCTGCTTGTGCTCTCTCTCTCTCTCAAATAAATAAATAAATAAAATCTTAAAAAAAAGACAAGTCAATGTTAAAAATGAGCAAAAGATTTGAATAGACATTATCAAGTATTTGTGTATCTTCTTTGGAAAAAGAAGTACATGGGAAGATGCTCAACATCATTAGTCATTGGAAAAATATAAATCAAAATCACAGTAAGAGACCACTTCAGACCCACTAGGATGACTAATTTTTTTTTTCTAGGATGACTAATATCAAAAGACAGCCAATAATGAGTATTGACAAGGATGCGGAGAAACTGGAACTTCATAAATGCTGATGGAAATGTAAAATGCTGTAGTCACTTCCAAAAACAGGCAGCTTCTGAAAATATTAAACAGAGTGACCATATTCACCCAGCAGTTCCACTCCTAGGTATCTACCCAAGAGAAGTGAAAACAAATGTCCAGCTGAAAACTTATATACAAGTGTTCATAGCATTATCATTCATAAGAGCCAAGAAACGGCTACAAGCTAAATGTTCATGAGCTGAACAAATGTAATCTATTCATAGAATGGAATATTTGGCACGAAAAAGGAATAAAGTACTGCTATAACATGAATGAACCTTGAAAACATTGTGCCAAGTAAAAGAAGTCCATCACAAAAGACTACACATATTGTATCACTCCATAAACATCACATGTCTAGAAAAGACAAATCCATAGAGACAGAAATTAGATTAGGGGTTGCCAGTGGGGGAGTATTGAGAGCAACTGCATATAGGCACCGGGTTTCATTTTTGAGTGACAAAGTTCTAAAATTAGTGATGATGGTTGTACATCTTTGTGAATACACTAAAACCCACTAAAGTATACACTTTAAAAAGGTGAACTTTATGGTATTTGAATTATATCTCAATAAAGCTGTTATTTTTACTTAGAGAATCTTAACAAGAGCCAGCGAAATAAAGAAATATTATATACAGAAGAATAAAGATAAAAATGACAGCAGCTTTCTTGACAGAAACAATGCATGCCAGAAGAGAATGGAGAAATATCTTTATAGTACTGAAGCGGGGGGGCGGTGGCGGGAAGTCAACTCAGATTCTACATGCCACAAAAAAATCTTTCTAAAAATAAAAGTGAGGGGTGGCTCAGTCGGTTGAGCGTCCAAGTCTTAATTTTGGCTCAGGTCATGATCTCAGGGTTATGGGATCAAGTCCTGCGTCCGGCTCCACACTGAGCATGGAGTCTTCTTGGGATTCTCTCTCTTTCTCCCTCTCCTTCTCCCCACTCATGCATTCTCTCTCTAAAGATAAAATAAAATCTTTAAAAAATAAATAAAAGTGAAATACTTTCACAGCCTTAAAAAAGCTGGAAGAATTCAGTAGCAGCAGAAATTTTAAATGAAGTCCTTAGGCAGAAGGAAAATTATAGCATATGGAAATCTGTATTTACACACACAAAAAAACAAAGTGCACTGGAAACTGTAACAATGTAGATAAATTTAAAAGATTTCATTTTTTATTTAAATCTCCTGAAAATAGGGGCACCTGGGTGGCTCAGTCAGTTAAGCCTTTGGCTTAGGTTATGATCTCAGGGGTCCCATGATCCCAGAAAATATAATTGTTCAGAGTAAAAACAATAACAAAAAATTTATCATATGTAAAATATAAGAAAACAAGAGTACAAAGGCTGGTAGGGAAGAAATGGAAATATTTCTTTTAAAGATTTAATTTATTTAATTTATTTAATTTATTTGAGAGAAAGAGAGAAAGCAAGCACGAGCAGGGAAGGGGCAGAGGGAGAGGGAGAGGGAGAAGCAGGCACCCTGCCGAGCAGGGAGCCCAAGGATCCCAGCACCCAGGGATCATGACCTGAGCCAAAGGCATAAGTTTAACAGACTGAGCCACCCAGGTGCCCCAGAAATGGAAGTGTATTGTAGAAACATTATAATATTATAAGTGAAGTACTATAATATCACTTGAAAGTAGACTGTGTTAAATTAAAGATATGACCAGATGTTGGCAAACTATAATTTGCAGGCCAAATCTGGCCTGCTCCCTGTTTTCATAAATAAATTTTTATTGGAGGGACGCCTGGGTAGCTCATTCGGTTAAGCGTGTGCCTTTGGCTCAGGTCATGATCCAGGGTCCTGGGATCGAGTCCCATGTTGGGCTTCTTGCTCAGTTGGGAGCCTGCTTCTCCCTTGCCTGCTCTGCCTGCCTCTCCCCCTCTGCTTGTGCTCTCTTTCTCTCTGACAGATAAATAAAATCTTTAAAAAAAAAGTTTTATTGGAACACAGCCAGAGTCATTCATTTACATATTGTGTCTGGCTGCTTTTGTACAAAAATGGCAGAGTCAAATAGTTATGACAAAGACAGTATAGTGCACCAAATCGAAAATATTTACTATATGGACCTTTATAGAAAAAGTTTGTTGGTCCCTGGTGTATACTATACACCCTCAAACAGGCACACAAGGAATTACAGGCTAATAAACAAAAAAAGGAGATAAAATGGAAACATAAAAGATATGTAATCCAAAAAGAAGGCA